TAACAAAACCACCTCAAGATTTGCCTTCAAAAAGACAATGATAAAGTGAGTAGATTATATGAGCAACAAGAAAATGGACTGCTTTAAAAAATATCGTTCACCGTGATTACAAAAATAATAAAGCCGACACTAACCTTATTGTTCATCGTTTTTGTAAACGTATACGGTCCCGTTTCGTTCACTTCCGGTATCGCTCCATTCATTATTTCATCAGGATTTTCGATTGAATGAACATATATCTAAACAAAGCTTTGGCACCCTCTTCGTTGAGTATTATCAGCTTTTTTTCAATTTAATTGCGATTTTGGAAATATTTCTGGATAAAATGTACCAAAGAAATATACAAGTCTTTTAGACCAAAAGAGGGACACATATTATTCGATAATATTTCGATGATATGAGGATCAAGTCCATTTCTTCCCAAGAAGCAGATCGATTTATCGATTGGATATATCCGTATTTGTCCACGAACATTGATAGCCATGATAAGCAATTTTCTCCATAAACAAAGCATAGGAAGGGATTGGTTTATTAAAATTAGGAAACATCAACTGCAGGAAATACCTTGTACAATACTTCGTATTCTGGTTTCATCCATTTGTTCATCAACCGTGAACCTTCAATCAGTTTTGCATTCTGAAAAGCAGGTATTTTCATGATATTATTCGTGATTGTTTGTATACTTTATGATGAAAGTTAAACACAAGATAATTTTCTAAAGTCTCTAAAGTTAAAGATAAAGTTCTTATGCGTACACATTGCATAAAAAAAGATTAAAGCAAATAAAAGATAAAAATCCCGAATATTATTAGACTCCCGATATCCGTCGAGGTCGGGTTTTTTTCCACCTATAGTTGAGTGACTATGTGGTAAAAATGGCTCTCAACATAGCGGAGCTGGTGTAGTGGCAAGTGGCGTGCTCCTACAACGCTTTTGAAACTTCTTAGCTCACATGCTTTTGGGAAAGGAGGTACTAAAAGATTGCTGAAATTGGAATTAGACTGATAGCGCTTGTTTTTCAACGACTGCAATTCTTTGAAGACAGTCCAGTGACGTCCATCAAACATCTATGAAGAACTGTTTTCAGGAAGGTCAATGCCGTCGCACCGCGTTGAGGGCTCAATTTGTGCAAAGAAGTGCAATTTTGCTCAAAACAAACACTCCAAACAATCCAAACATGGACAATTATTCTCAAGGATTATTACTGATAAATAGTATCAGTCGTGATGTAATCAAGTCTAGTATTGTTCAGATTTAGTATCGATTACTCTTCTGTTGGAGTATTTGCTCCACCACAACAATTATTTCCCCGAAAATCGCAATGGTTACTTCCTGCGGGTTGGTTTTCTTGGAGGGACCCATGAGCGAGCTTAACCTGACCGTAGAAGCAGGGCTTTCTTCTGGTATAGCATCGCAAACTGGATCTGCTTATTAGAAAGCGAAATACAATGTTTCTAAAATGAAATGGCCATCGATGCAGCTACAGGCATTTCACACACTACCGCTCCGTCATCAATGGTAAATTTGAACGGGAGGTGGGAACTTAGAAAGCGGTTGCTGGAACGAAGTAATTAATTTCAAAGCAACCCATTCAAAAAAGAAATGAAGTTAATGGCCGTTGTAAAGATTCCCATTGGAAAAAGCTTGTGCGATTCAAGTGGCGGAACAGGTTCCCACCCTCCCTGTCAAAATTCGTCTGCTACAATTCCTTAGACTTGATCTTCATTATTTGGGGGCGTAAATAGCGATGACATGATTTATGACTAGTTATTCAAACAAAGAAGCGCTGATGCTGTGATGTGAGAGGTTGCTGAAACGAAGTGAAGGCGAGGTTGATAGAAGAAAGTACAGTGAACTAAAGGTCAGGACCTTTCCTGAACTCTTTTTTAAACGTTACCTACGTGGATGAAGAGAAGGGGAATGTGAAGGAGGGAGGAAAGAATGGGAACAACTACTTGCCAGCTCTCTAACATCGACACAGCATTTGGTGACGTAGTGATATCCGTTTGCGTTGATGAGGCCTCTTTGAAAGTGATTTGAAATTAAACGACAATAGGGAATCTTTCG